TGACACCATTATCATGCTTGAGTGGTTAAAAGACATGCCTTTACATGTCTCAGTGGGAACATTTATGTTAGATTAACTTGTAGCTGCTGGACAGTGCAGGGGATCTTATGTTATTAACCCTTAGTGACAGCACATCATCGTTGGATAGTAGTAGCTGAAGTAGGCTTGGTTACCATCCTTTCTTAACCCCTCATCTCTCCTCTCAGATATGTAATGCCCAGTTGTGAGAGTGATGCCAGAGCAAAGAGCACGGAGGTGGAAGACCCCTTCAAGGACAGGGAGCTACCAGGTGGGGAGATGCTACCCTTTTGGTACCTACTTTTCCCCTTCCACCCTACTCTGGGGCCATTTCTTGATCTAAAACAGGGAGCAGGAATAATGGGCAGGTGGACCACAAGGAGGAGGGATGCTGGGCAGGTGGACCATAAGGAGCATGGGATCAGAAGCCATGGAATCTGTAGAGAAGTTTGCTTACAGAGGTGGCTGTCTTGTGGGGCCTGGGAAGCATCTGCCACCTGCTCCACAGAATGTTTTCATGATGATCTGAGTGATTGAGGATGGCCACAGGGATATTGTGGGTAAGGGAATGGCATGAGACCCATGGAGAGGGGCCCTGGAACTTGGAAGGACTCGTGGGCTGTACTTCCCCTTATTTATAGTGAACTCTGCTAGGGGTCACAATAAGATGAGTAAATATGGATGACTTGGAATACCATAGTCTTTACTCAGTACAAAATTAGGTGGGTACGGGTGGGAATTTGCATTCTACCCTCATGACCCATTCCAGAGTGAAAACTGAAGGTAGAGAGTCCTGCAAGTCAAGCTTTCCATGTGAGCTTTGTAGAAATCACAAAAATAGAGCTGTGGCCTCCGGGACCCTTGCTTCTAGCCATCCCTGCAACAGATAAGAATGGGAGATTCCATTGTTCACCAGGCACTAGATGTAATCTAGTACCCAAAATTGGCATGAGGTTCATAGCGTGCATGAGGCAGATTGTGTGCAGATAAAGGAAGGCATGTATATGCAAGTAGTCATGAAGTCATCCTGGGGGCTAAAAGCAAGGAGATGTGAGGGAAAACCCTCCTTAGAGCCCATGCTTCTTATGAGAAGTAGTGTTTAGTAGAAGACCTGTACGTTTGGAGAGAGAAGAGAAGGTCCTAGAAGCTGCAGAGAGGTCACCATGGGTAGATTGAGGGCCCATTCACGTTGATGAACGTGAGTTTTAAGGCTCCCATCTATGTGGTTGTGTGGGGGTGTTTTTCCTAGCCATGCTCTTTTATGTGGGTGTAGACATGGAACAGGAATATATGTGATGTGCATAGGGTTTCTCTGGAACACTAAAAAGATAAAACAAGGAACAAAGGTCTTGGGACTATTTCCAAGAGAGAGTCTAATCAGCTGGAGAAGGAGGGGAGAGAGTAAAGGAGGAGGTTCTTGATAGATCTACTCATGTCAACTTGATAACCAGTGGGATTCGTCCCCACCCCACCATTCCCTGTACTCCAACAGTAATGTTTCTTACTCTCAGAGCAGCATTTTTTATAACCTACAATAACTCCCTGGACATTAACCTGAGCATATTAGCCCAGTATATTGTGAAGTTTCTCAGGTTAAGAACCTTGTGTATTGTTTCCCTAGCTTTTAACATAGTACCTGAGTTGATACTCAGCAAAAAAAAAAAATGTGTGAGATGCAGGAAAATTGAAAGCATTACTATCCATTTAGTCTGATGATACCTTGTGGGCTCTGGGTAGAGGAATGCTGAAGGTCTATGAGCGTCATCTGGGCAGTAAATACATTCCCCAAAATGGATCAAGCTGAATAAGGATTTCCAGAAACTTGGGAAGGAATGAGAGCTGAGAAGGCCATTTATTTGGTTACTTATTGGACATCTGCCTTCAAATCTCATTTTATCTTTTAGGCTGTCCAGAAGGGAAGAAATTGGAATTTATCACCAGCCTACTGGATGCTCTTACCACTGACATGGTTCAGGCCATTAACTCCGCAGCACCCACTGGAGGTGGGAGGTGAGAATGTGAGCAGGACTCAAGTCCAATAGGAAATGTGGGGCTGTGGACAGATGCTACATTCTGGAGGTTAGGAAAGCCTGGGAAGTTTGACCAGGGCAAGAGCTGGACTTCTATCCTTTTCCTGAAAACATATGCCCATGGCTTTGTCTCACCTTCTGACAAAAATTCCTCCTGCTCCTCAACCTTTCTTTTCTTTCTTTCTTTTTTTTTTTTTTTTTGAGTTGTTTATCTCCAGCATTTGGTTACCTGGTAACAGGGCTGTCTGAAAATGTCCAGCTGTTTAATCTCAGAAGAAGGAGTGTTGAATAACAGGATGGGTGATGGGCATCTGATGAGGACCAGGAGGGAGTACAAAGCACTCTGTGATGTTTCTTCTCCTTTGAGAAGGAGAAGCCATATGCCTTTGTGGCCTTCGGAGAATTCCAAGGAGGTCTGAGTAATGAAATTGGATACTTCACAATCACATCCAACCTTGTTCCGGAGTTACATGGAAATCCTTACCTGAGGCCTAAATGTACATACTACCTGGTGAACCAGGATCTCTGGAGCCTACTAGTTTAGGTCTGTTGGGCTGGTCAGGTGGAGAATGTATGTATCCATCCAGTGAGCACCTTTTGAATGTATATGACATACCAAGTCCTTTGCTAAGGACTAGCTACACAGGAATGCATTTTCTTACCTTCAAAGTAAGGCAGCTTATTTGGGACACTGGACCCTAGACAGATACTTGCAGACTGTGTGGTCCATGCTAGGCAGAGGTAGAAGAACAGAGGATTGTCTAGCACAGTGCACAGGAGGCAGTGAAAGCTTCCTGGAGGAGATGATAACAGCTGGGTTTTGAAAGCTAGGTAAGATTTAGTCAAAAGAAGAAGAAAGCCATTCATGAAGGAAGAAAGGATATAGTGACTCCAGGAAAAGGCACACTTGTGGTTCAGAATGTCTGGGCCTGGATGGAGAAGGAGGAAGAGTAGAAGAGTGGTAATAAGGAGATGAGATGGGAAGTGGGGAACAAGAAAAGGGCCTGAGGACATACGAAGACTTCCAGTTATAAAACAAGGGCACAGCAGGGGTTGGGCAGGAGCCAGGGAGGGGAAGGTGGGCGTGTTCGGGTTCCTGACAGCAGCGGCCAAGGTGCCATGAGCTTGCCAAGGACATGCAGCCTGACTCTCAGCTCAGATGGCTTCTCAAAGAGGGAATGCTAGTTTCTAATCACTAACCATCTGCTGGCAGCAGAGCTGTTATCTGCAAGGCAACTAGGTAGACAGGCCTAGGTCCCCAGGACCCACAGAAGTGGCAGGTATGACAGAGACCTCTGGCAGGACCTCTGGGTATACATTTGGAGTCAGGATTTCAAGCATAACTATCAACTATTTGGCATTCTCCCATCCAAGTACTAACCAGGCCTGACCCTGCTTAGCTTCTGAGAGCAGACGAGATCGGGCATGTTCAGGGTGGTATGGCCGTAGACAACTATTTGGCATTCTGAAGTGGACAAATGTTTTCATTTTGACACTTCCCCCCCTTTTTTGAATCATATCAAAGTGATTGTGTACATGGTCAAGATATGGTAATGTCACTGGTAGATGAAAAGAATATAATAGATGCATACAGCAAGCTAGATATTCAGTTGAGAGAGAGAGAGAGAGAGAAAGGAGAGAGAGAGAAAGAGAGATGGTACATTGAGGACATTGTGCCAGGTGAAATAAGCCAGTGGCAGAAGGGCAAATACTGTATGATATTTTTCTTGCACAAGCTATCTGAAATCTCCAAATGTGGAAAATCAGGGAGGAAAGGTAGCCTCTAGGGGACATGGAGAGAAGGAGAAGGGAGATTTTAATCAACAGACATCAAGTTTCAATCACCATTATCCTTATAGTCCACTGTACTGCTGCCCTGTACAGTTTGAGTTTTACTAAGAGGATAGATTATGTGCTCTTAGTACAGCAAAATGCAATTTTAGAAAAAAAAAAGACAAAAAGGAGAAAAAGAAAGGAAAAAGAAAATGAGTGTAGTGGTCATCACCCTTGAAAACTGCTGGTCAGGGTGCTTACCCCTAGCACCCCTTGGTTGGGAGAGCCTACAGGCTGGTTTCTAAGCATAGCACTATTACTTCTTACCCTGCAGGCATGGGCCAGGCCTTCGCATAAAGGAGCACAGCAAAAGAGCTAAGAAAATGGGGGAGGGGGGTAGGCAGGGAGTGGGGCCACACACAGTGCTCAGCAGCTCAGTAACTAAGAGATTGCACCCCAATTGCCAAGAAGAGGGGAAGGGTGAGTTTTGACAAGGCATACTCCGTGTTACATGCCTTTTTGTGATTTATGCTTAGAATATGCAAAAATACCTGTGGTTTCATGCAAAACCAGGAATGAGACTAAGTAGTCCCGCTTTTTCCTCTCTGAGCCGAAAATACTCAAAGGAAAAAAAAGTAAACAATTTATAACTTTCATTACAGTATATTGTTTAACTGCTTTATTACTGTTGTTGATTTCCTACTGAGCCTTAATTTATCAATTAAGCTTTACCATAGTCCACAGGTTATATATAAAGAATAAAAACAACGGGGCACCAGTGGCTCACACTTAAAATCAGAGCCACTCAGGCGGCTGAGATCTTAGGATTATGGTTCAAAGACAGCCCTGGCAGGAAAGTCTGTGAAGCGCTTATCTTTAATTAAACACCACAAAGCTGGAAGTGGAGCTGTAGTTCAAGTGGTATAGTACTAGCCTTGAGCGAAAGAGCTTAGAGACAGGGCCCAAGCCCTGAGTTCAAGCCTCAAGACCACCACCTCCCCTAAAAAAATAAAGAAATCTATCAGTGATTTCAAGCATTGAGGGCTTGGAAAGTATTCCTAACATATTTATGTTGACTAGAAAAATGGGAGAAAACTGGCATCTCAGCTGACTAGGGTAGCAGAAGTTAGCAAGACCCTATCTCAAAAACAAAATACAAACAAAAAGGCTGAGGTGTAACTCAAGTGGTAGGGTACTTGACTAACATGTGCATGGCCCTGGGTTCATTCCCAAGTCCCATAGAAGTCTCAGGTGTGGGTGGTCCCCTCCATGACTTCCTGAAGGTTGCTAGCTCTGACCATCAGCTCATGCATCTAGCCTCTCTATTCTACTTTAGATCCATAGAGACAAGACTTCAAGCTCCACCCCAGTGACCTCCATAGGAACCTCAGTGCTTTTGTTCTCCAGGGCCTTGGTTACATGGAGGGACCTTGGATGGACCATGGATGGACCCTGTAGCCAAGGGAAGTTAGAGTTACTGCCTAACCCACATGGTACAGGTCAAAGAGATACCTACAGATAATAAAGAAATGTATGTTTTTTCATGCCAGCATATCCTTAGGGAAAGGGCTTTGCATAAAATCTTCTCTTTCAGGTTAGGTATAATTTAGAGTTGGGAGATACTTTTAAAAATAGTTCCAAAAACATGTGTTTTTGTTTTTTAAAAAAAATTATAATAAGCTTCTGTTAGCTTGGCCATGCTTGGTTCTGATAGGTACAAAAGGTTTAGACTGCTTTGAGTAGTTGCGTTACCTGGAGGCTGGACTTCTAATCACAGGAAGACAAAATATACCAGAAATAGTTTTTAAATCAAGGAAGATCAAGGAAGTATGTGTGTGTGTGTGTGTGTGTATGAGGGGGGAGAGGGAGAAGAGTGGGAGACTGGGAGAGAGAGAGGAAGGGAAAGAAAAGAGAGAGAGGGCTGGGAAGGTGGCTCAATGGTAGAACGCTTGCCTTGCATGCCTGAGGCCCTGGGTTCGAGTCCTCAGCACCAGATAAGCAAAAAGAAAAAAGCCGAAAGTGGTGCTGTGGCTCAAGTGGTAGAGCGTTAGCCTTGAGCTGAAGAGCTGAGGGACAGCGCCCAGGCCCAGAGTTCAGGCCCCACGACCGGACCCAAAAAAAGAAAAAAAGAATAAAAAAAGAAAAGAGAGAAAGAGAGAGAGAGAGAAGAAACTTTATTAAGAAGTGCCTGGTCTGTGTTGCCAAATTTCCAGAGGGTTTAAATCCCTCTGGATCTTCCCCTTACATGTAGCCTAAGCTTTAGCGCATGCCTGAAGGACCTTGTGATATGGTCTTCATGGCGTCTGGCTCTTCTTGGATAATTTTCCTCCCACCATTGTGTGTCCTCCCCATTGCCTCTAGGAAGTCACCCTGCCTACCTCCTGGGCCCACCCCCAACCAGCAGTACCTTCATCCTACAAAGCAGTTCTCCTTTTTCCTATACTGGCTCCTGCTTATGCACTGAAACCTCACCTCTCAGAGACTACCCAGCCTAGAGGAGCTATTCCTCAGCCATCCTCTGCCTCTGCGCCCCTTGTTAACTCTTGGCCTTGTGCTTGTCGTGATGTGACATCTACCCAGCTCATGTGTTATCTGTTTCACCCACTGAGAACTTGAGTTCCACCAGAGAAGGAGCATTCACCCCCCTTTCCCCTGCTGTGTCCTCAGAATTTGCAATACTGCCTGGCACATAGGAGACAATGAAGAATATGTGTCAACAAATAGCAGTGTGAGTGATGGGTCGGTAGCAGGGTGGATTCCCGAGGGTTCACTGACTACTGCAGGACTCAGTATAAGGTTCGGTGCAGCTGTCAGGTTCTCTGTGGTAGATCTTTTTAGAGCTCTAAGGCACCCCCCCCCGGGCCTGAGGGATTTAAGACACTGCTGAGACAGTTATTTCTCTTGTGTGATGAAGGAGCAGAGGCACAGGACAGCTGGAGATTGGGTAACACATCTAGGACAGGGCTGAGGAAGAGAGGAAATCCAGGCTCCCTTGGGGTTTTGCCTTGGCTTTGGAATTCAGGCAGAGTTGGCACTGCAGGCATGAAGTTGAAGAAGCTGTGTTTGAGTCCTCACACTCAGGGTCTGACCATTGAATTGACAATTGATGGACATCAACTGAGACCGGTGGGAAGCAAGACCACATGAACACGCTGGGAGAAAGGATGGAAGGCATCTCTCCATCTCACGTTTTAGCCTGCCCCTGGT